TTCTACTAGGACGATACTTTTGCAAGGGATAGTCCACCAGTTTCTGCAATTCGGTTTTCACGATGTACTGGGCCAGACCGAGCTTCGGATTGCACAGGAAAAACGCCGACGGACCGGGGTAGACCGAGCCCTCCGGCTGCACCGGTTGCTGCACCGGCTTCAACGCCGCCGCGCGCCGCGCGCTGCGCCTTCATGCAGTGGATACCGAATTCGCCTTTTTCGTGTGCTTTTTCGGCGACGGAGATTTTGACCTGGATTTACTCGTGCTTCGTCCTCCATCAAGAGACTCTTCCCGTGATTCTTTGATTGACAAGTTTTCAGAATCACCGTCGAGAGTCCCGTGTAGCCGAACGAAGGTGGTGAAGGACGGCTTTACTTTTTCCTCGGCGCCATTCTTGTCTCTCTTCTTTTTCGGCGCCATTTTGTTTTCGGGATGTGTTCTTTTGATGTGCTGTTGCTCTTCACAGTAGTATGCTGGATGGTGTCGTGTGTACTAGTACTACTAGTAGTTACTTTTCAATTTCATTCATATACGCGTAGAAGAAGTTCCTACGATCATAGTGGAGGAACTTCAGCTTTCGCTCGAACGACGAGACGCTAGCTGTGCAAACCTCCATATTATCACGACGAATACGACAGAACTGTTTTTCGCTCGATTGACTCAACATTTTATCCTGCCTCTCCGCTCGTCTGAATCAACATTGTTGAACTCAGATTCAGAAGTCTTTCCTGTCCTGTAGACGAAACGCATCGAAACGAGACGACCTGGCCACGTGGCCACACCACAAAAGATGAACACGGGTTCTTGCACTACTCGTGCACAAGTCATAGCCGAACCGTACAGACCTGCGCACTACAGCAGCAGCAGCTAAAGGCGGTGAAGACAAGTTGAGTTCAGCTGGTTCCTTTCTTTTCCACCGTTTTTAGCCTCAATAAACTCGATCCTAAAATCTTTATCTAAAATGCGCTACCACGAAATCCAAACTTGCTTGTAAAATCTTCAAACAAACCTCAATCTCCTCCTCATTCCTTGGTGCGTAAACCAGCACCAACCCCGCCGGCACTCCCGGGTGCTTCTGCGCGGCTAGCAGATGGAATTCAGTCCACCCAAGGCGGTTCAGCTCCTCCGCGTCTTGGAGATCCAGCGTCAAATGCATTGATCCTAACCCCCCGCCTTGCCACACCTGCCAGGGGCGGTCTCGCTCTCGGGTGTCTTGTTTTGCGCTTCTTAATGGATCTTTTTCAAAGTACTTCGCGTGGATGTGCGCGAACTCGGTACCGACCATAAAACAATTCCTGGTGTTCATCGTGTTCATGCCACCGTCTTTACCTGCTGGCCTCATCGTCCGTGAATTCCAGTGAAACGCCGGGAAAGTAGACGGGACGCTGATCCCCGTTGGGCCCACTTCGACACAGTAGTCGAGCGCGTCCTTGTCGTTTCCCTGCAGCATCTCTGTCGCTCTTTCCACGAATTCCTTGAATATCGCCTCGGAGGATTCTTCCGTCATTTGGCAGTGGGGCAAACAAGTGCCAGTTTGCGGCCGGGCGCCGCGTCGGGGGGCGGGGTACTTGTCACGGAGCATTGTTGACTTTGGCTTTTCTGTCTTGAAAAAGCAACGGTTTATGCAACAAGACGTACAGCTTTTTACGTTACGCGACTTGATTCGGAATTTTGTTTCAGCTTCACAGGAGGCTCCTGCTCACTTACATTTCGAGGTCAAGCGAAAAGAAACAAAGGGAGTTTTATGGGGGTTTAAGAGGCGTGTTTGGTGGGGGTCGCGAAAAGATGAGGGGTGCCTGCTTTTGTTTCGTCGTCAAGAACGAGTAAAACGACGAATGTATTTGCTACCTTGCCTGTAGTTTTCGAAAGCACATACACGATTTTGAAATCCTCATGGACCGCCCATTTGCTCTGCAATTTCAGTTCCCCCAATGACGAAAAGAAAAAAACACGACTTGTAGCTACCCAGGAGACAGAAACCCATGACCGACCTTCGCCTTCCTGGTACCATGGAAAAACAAACACGGTCGGCACACTAAAACACCCTTCATCTTCACAAGTTGTAGGGCGTGCTATGCTGTGCGCATCATGCCCAGCAACATCATTGAGATAAAGTTTTTTCCTATCCGTTTGTCTTTCAAGAATCTAACGATTACGCTCCACGTTGAAAAAGCGGCGGCGATGCTGAAAGCGCGGGACTTTATCCATCAACGTTCTTAGATGTACAGTGAGCGTCCAATTTTTGTATTGTTTTTCTTTATTCTTTTCCTTTTCGTAGCGATACATAGCTGGCTCTAATAAAATGTCTGAAGGAGAATACTGAAATTAATTTTGATTGTAGTGCCTTGATTTTTTTGCTTCTGTACAGATTTCAATCGGAAACCCAACTGCTGAATACGTGCGGCTAGGTACGTAGATCTAGAAGAGTTTTCCCATATTTTTGATTTTGAATTCATTGTTTACAAAAAACGAAGATTCACATTCTAAACGCACTAGAAAGAACAAGAGCGTACAGGTCAATTCACTGTCACAATCTGCTCATAACTCGCTCAAACATTCCTGGTTGCTAGTAATAAAATCTATCATTTGATGCGCACTGAAACTCATGCTGTTCGTGGATGTCGAAGGTGTGAATAAAGCCCTAGTTCCCATAAAACGAAGCCGAAGCTTCGTTCTACTCATTCCTGAAACCAAGAACCTCATCAGATTTTCGCGACCTTCTCCATGATCTCCTGCAATTGCAGTTTCACGTCCGAGGACGCGTCGGAACCATCGATATGCATTGCAAAAGGATCGCACTCGTATGTACAAATCTAGTTGTGAAGTGAAATCAGCATCACAAATTCCATATATGCTGACCGAATTTTCAACGCGATTTGGATTTCTACTAGGACGATACTTTTGCAAGGGATAGTCCACCAGTTTCTGCAATTCGGTTTTCACGATGTACTGGGCCAGACCGAGCTTCGGATTGCACGGGAAAAACGCCGACGGACCGGTGTACACCGAGCCCTCCGGCTGCACCGGTTGCTGCACCGGCTTCAACGCCGCCGCGCGCTGCGCCTCAACGACTACCTGGCATCCCCTCCTAAAGCCGTGCTGCCTTCCTGATAAAAACCCGCAGTGACGCAATGCAGCATCAAGTCGCTCCGTTAGGACCGCAGTTAGTATTTTAATAATGATAGAAGTGTTCACGATTCCGCGGAAACAATCGAGGGACGAGGGGTCCCCCTTGCCCTTAAAAAGCAGGCGGACAGAGGCAGCGAGAATCTTGTCGTCGCTGTCCTTAACGTCAATGTCGGCAAAGTTGGTGGCTCGGTGGTGGTTCAGAATGCGGGCGATGACGGTCCAGGCCTCATGGTTGAGGGCTTTCCAAAGTGCAACGCTGTCCCCAAACAAGTCGACCTGAAGCGAGTTCTTGCGCCTCATCGCAGCGCCCCGGCATTCTTCAGCAGTAAACTCCCGCAGGAGAAGCTTCCGCCCCTCGTCATCAAGTGGCTGAACGGCACTGCGGATTAGATCAGCATTGGGCACCCCTGGAGCAACGCTTACTTTCTGGAAATGTTCAGCAGCATCCTTCGGGTCGAAAGCAGCACCCTTCTGCAGGTTCTTCTTGAGCGTGCGCTGGCAGCGCACATGGTAGTCCGTATTGAACGCACTTTTCTGCGTCTCCAGAAAAGCCGCCCGCTCCTCCAGAACGGCCGAAAGCTGCTGGCATGCGTTTTGGTAGTTGAGATTGGCACTTTCGTCGTCAGGGCTGAGAGCGGCCGAAAATTTCCGGATCGTCTTGCGAAGGATGCGCACACGGAGATCAAGACGCTGGCGGACTTTGTAGTTGTGCGATTTGTTGTAACGGCGCAACTCCTCCTCTGCTGAAGACTTCAGGATTCCTTGTGCCCGAACAAGTGCCTCAGGTATGCTTGACAGCGGAAGATCGAGCGGGAGGTTGGCGGCGTCATCATTCTCGAGCTGCCCCGCACTGCCTGGGGCCTCCGCGTCGGCCGCTGCGTCAGCGTTGGTTTGTTGTGGCTCTGGGCAGAGAAGGTCGACTACAGCCCGCGAGAACTGGTGTCTGGCGCCAGGAGTTGCCCGCCACAGCGGGGCGGGTGGCTGTTCACTACTATTGTCATCCTTCTTTTTCCGCATAACGTTACGCCGCTGGTAGGCAAACTCGACCCAAAGGCGAAGATACTTGTGGCGGTGGTCAAGTCCAAGCGGCGACTGGATTGTAGAACAAACAGCGACATTCGGGACGTCGCAACCGGTTATGTAGAACTGGTCGAGCTCCCTCCACTTCTGAATTCGCCGGGAGAAGTGCGGGCGAACGCACACCCCTTGCGCAAGCGAGCCGACGCAGTTTTTTTGGTGGAGGAAAATATCGTTTTTTTTTCCAAACTCTTGAGACGCCGCAGCAACTTGCTCGAGCAGTTCCTCCGGGATAGTGGTGTAATTGGAGAGGTTGATGCCCGTTTTCATTAACACGTAACTATCGTGCGTGCACTTCTTGTGCGGTCGGACGAAGACATACCCGGCCCAGATTGGGTTGCCGTTCGCATCCAGAAGCTTCGTCTTCTTCTCTGGGTCCGACGGGTCCTTCCTCCAGCCCAGTCGCTGGACAGTCCCGAACAAACGCTCTCCCAACTTCGGTCTTGGTATCAAATCCCCATCCTGCATCAAAGCATCTTCTTCCGGCATCGTGTTCGTGTAGCAGGTAACCAGGCAACAAATTAACGCTGTTCTGCACGAGCAGGAGACGGCGAACGCAGAAGCACGGGGCAGACGCACACTACAGGGACGGAAACAACGACATTATTACAACGTCAGCGTCGGTCACTCACAACGACAGCATCGGTCTTCAGAGAAAAACGATCACCGGCCCTCCGGCTACACCGAGCCCTCCGGCTGCACCGGTTGCTGCACCGGCTTCAACGCCGCCGCGCGCTGCGCCTCGACGAACTTCTTGTTGTGCTGCGCGCGTTCCTCTTCCTGTTTTTCGACCATCTTCTTGTGCGCTTCCACATTAAACTTCGTAAAGTTCGGGACCGGCACTGTAAGAGAGGATGCAGTTTTGCTTTCTCCTTCCTACTCAACATTATTTTCATCATGACAAGCATGAAGTCGTCAAACTACATTATCTTTTTTTTTCATACTCAAAGTTGTATAACAAAAACCATTCTACCGCTCTGCAGTCCCTTCTGGAGGTCTTTCTCCTCCGGAATCTCGAGCTTTTTCGGCAGGGACTCCTTGAATTGCAGGAAGAACCCCGCGACCTTCTCGGTGGGCACCAACGGTTCCTTACTCGGCTTCTTCAACTTCGGCACTTCGATGCCGAGGGAGAAGTTCTCGGCCTTGCAGGGGGAATTGGGCATGGTATTAGTTTTCCTTTGTCAAGCTCAACCAAGACAACGCTCTTGCAAGCACGACCAGCTGCCTCGTGGATTTTTCCTTTGTTGTGTATTTGTGTCAGTCGCCGCGCATAAAATATTTGATTTTTTCTACAGATTGTAGAAAAAAAAAAAATCGAAAACAGGTAGAAAAAATCAAAAAGGGAAAAAAAGAGAAAACAGAAGAGAAAAGACATCAAGAGAAAATCAAACGAGAAAACACAGAGACGACGACTTTTCTTACAAAAAGCAAACGCCTCGTTTTGATTTTTTCTACAGCTGTAGAAAAAATCAAACAGCGCTCATCCGAAACCGAGAGAAACGAGAAAACGGCAAGAACTCGAGAAGTTCTCACCTTTTCTCGAAGTTCTCGCTTTTTCTCGAAAGTCTTCTCGTCCCGCCCATTCGAGGCCAACGGCCGAAAACGTCCAAAATACTGTAGAAAAAATCAAACGCCTCCGGAGAAAATCAAAAGACCTCCACCCGGAACGCTGAGGAGCCACCTCGCCGCGCGCGTAGCGCGCGAAGAAAATTCCCCAAGCGGCGAACGAAGTTGGTGCGCGCCCCATGTGCGGGGACGGCTGAGAAGCAACCGCGCCGCGCGCGCAGCGCGCGGGGGGAATTTTTCAAGCGGCGGACGGAGGTGGGGGCGCGCCCGATATGCGGGGGGAGCAGAAAAAATTAATTTCCAAGCAGCAGACGGAGGCGGGCCGTGCGCGCCCCATGTGTGGGGAACGCTGCGAAACAAACTCGCCGCGCGCGCAGCGCGCGGAGAAAATTTTTCAAGCGGCAGACGGAGGGGGGCCGTGCGCGCCCCATGTGTGGGGAACGCTGAGAAGCATTTTCGCCGCGCGCGCGCGCGGAGAAAAATTTTCAAGCGGCAGACGGAGGGGGGCCGTGCGCGCCCCATGTGGGGAGAACGCCGAGAAACAACTTTGCGCGCGCGGAAAAAATTTTCCAAGCGACGGGCGTAGATGGGCACGCGCCCCATGTGTGGGGGACGTTGAGAAGCAACCTCGCCGCGCGCGGAGAAGATTTTTCACGCGGCGGACGGGGTTGGGTGCGCACCCCATATGCGGGGGGCGCTGAGAAGCAAGCTCTCCGCGCGCGCAGCGCGCGCCGCGGAGAAAAATTCTCAACCAAGCGGCAGACGGAGCTGGGTGCGCGCCCCATGTGCGGGGAACGCTGAGAAGCAACCGCGGCGCGCGCGCGGGCGGCGCGCGGAGAAAATTTCTCATGCGGCAGACGGAGGTGGGTGCGCGCCCCAGGTGTGGGGAACGCTGAGAAGCAACCTCGCCGCGCGCGCAGCGCGCGCGGAGGAAATTTCTCAAGCGGCGGACGTAGGTGGGTGCGCGCCCCAGGGGCGGAAAACGCTGAGAGGAAAACGCGCCGCGCGCGCAGCGCGCGGAGAAAATTTTTCAAATCAAGCGGCGAACGGAGGTGGGTGCGCGTCCCATGTGCGGGGAACGCCGAGAAGAAAACTCGCCGCGCGCGCAGCGCGCGGAGAAAATTTTTCAACAGGCGAACGGAGGTGGGTGCGCGCTCTAGTTGAAACTTGCCGCGCGCGCAGCGCGCGGAGAAAATTTTTCAAGCGGCCGACGGAGGTGGGTGCGCGCCCCATATGTGGGCAACGCTGAGAAGCAACCTTGCCGCGCGCGCAACGCGCGGAGAAAAAAAATCTCTCAAGCGGCAGACGGAGCTGCGTGCGCGCGCCATATGCGGGGAACGCTGAGAACCAACCTCGCCGCGCGCGCAGCGCGCGGAGAAAATTTTTCAAGCGGCAGACGGAGGTGGGTGCGCGCCCTATGAGCGGGGGGCGCTGAGAAGCGCGGGCGGCGCGCGGAGATCTGAAGCGGCGGGCGGAGCTGGGTGCGCGCCCCATGTGGGGGGGACGCTGAGAAGCAACCGCGCCGCGCGCGCAGCGCGCGGGGAAAATTTCTCAAGCAGCGGACGGATGTTGGGGCGCGCCCTATGTACGGGCATCGCTGCGAAGCAACTTTGCCGCGCGCGTATCGCGCGGAGAATGAAAATTTTTCAAGAGGCGGACGGAGGTGCGTGCGCGCCCCATGTAATGCGCGCGCGACGCTAAGAAGCAATCTCGCCGCGCGCGCAGCGCGCGGAGAAAATTTTCCCGACCGGCGGGCCACACAACCAGGCGGGGCCGCGAATTGGGTGCACCAGAAAAACCGAAGCAACATACTGCGCGAACCAGAAAAAAGCAGAGGCAGCAAAGCCACGCGCCCAGCGCGCGGAGGAAGTTTATCAATCAGTTGGAAACCCCGGGGCGGTGGCGGCCGCTAATTTCCAGCTAATTTTTGCGGGATTTTTTCAAACCCCGACAATCGGGATAATAGTTAAAGGCCCAAACCCGAAAAAGCGACAACCCAAGTTGCCGCGCGCGAGGTCCCAAAACAATCACGAAAGGGGCTTCAGGACAAGAAAAAGAAAACAACGAGAAGCAGGCCGCCTCCTACACATGGAGCATGGCAACGCCGGCAATCTCACACAGGATGAATTCCCGCAAAACAAAACCCCAAATCCCAAAACCGCCCGAGAAGCAAAAGCACCCATCGAACACCCCACCCAGTTACACCCATACGAAACACCCCCCGCGGGCGGCTATTTTCGCTGCTAATTCTGCGGCTAATTTTGTTTCTATTTTTGGGCTCTATTTTCGTTTCTAATTTTGCTTCTATTTTCGTATTCAAAATCATGTTCCATTTTCGTATTCTAAATCATGTTCTATTTTTGGGTTCTAAATCGTATTCTATTTTGGCTTCTAAATCGTGCTTCTATTTTGCTTTCTATTTTTTGCGGGATTCGCATGTTCGAGCGGCTGCTTTTCAACTTCTAAGTTCGCGCTTTGGAGGATTTCCTTTGGAAATCTCCAGTGTCACGAAAAATAGAAGTTGAGAAGACAGCTGCCGAACACGCGAATCCCGCAGAAAAATAGAAAGCAAAACAGCGAGCACGTTTAGAAGTCCAAAATAGAATACGACTCAGAGCCCAAAAATAGAAAGCTTTCGAAAAACCCAGCGACAATGGCTTTGCGAAAGAACGAAACAGGGATAGGGTGCAGGGATTTCAACATTGGCCACACGGCCCAGGTCTTCACAACCCAAGCCGAAAATCCGAGGGCCCCCATGAAAACCAGACCACAAGCGCTGCCCTCCACCTTCGGGGCCACCCGGGAGGGTACGAAAATACCAAAGAAGCCCCCAGGGCGTTCGAAATTCCGAATCCCCTGCAAACGGCCGTAATTTTTAAATTTTAATTCCCGTCGTGGCTTTTCATGGAAAAACACACGCGGGACCAGCGGGGGGATTTGACAAAAACCCGGCCCCCCGGGCGCGGTGGAAAAGGGCGGAACCCTGCGGGCCCGGGAAACTTCAACGCCCGGGGACGAAAACCACCGCCCACCCTAAGGGCTTTGGGGAAATCCCGCAAAAATTAGCTGGGGTTTAGTGCCTCCCACGGCCCGCGGGCTCTCTGACTGATTATCAACTGACAGGCGGAGGTGGAGGCGCGCCCGATGTGTGGCGAACGCTGAGAAAAAACGCGCGCGCGGGCAGAATTTTTCAAGCGACAGACGGAGGCCGGGGCGCGTCCCATTTGCGGGGAACGCTGAGTACCAGCCTCACCGCGTGCGCTAGGGCCGCCCGGAAAAAATTTCTCGGGCGAGGGGGCCACGCAACCAGGCGGGAGCGCACAGACAACACGCGGAGAATTTTTTTCAGGCGACAGATGGAGGTGGGGGCGCGCCCCATGTGCGGGGAGCGCCGAGAAACAACCTCGCGCGCGGAGCGCGCGGAGAAAATTTTTCTTGCTTTCTTCTCGATTTTTCTCAAAGCACCCGACAGGGTTTTTCTACAGTGGGAGCCCGGTTTGATTTTTTCTAGGTGCTTTTTGATTTTTTCTACCGTATTTTTTTTTTCTCGGCATTTGTGTGACTGCAGAAACCAAAAATATTACAGCTCAATTTTTACTCCCAAAGCGAGCGTTGACGAGAAAATCAGAACGGCCTTATTGGACGACAAAGAGAAACGACATAACGATCAACATCGAGCGAGGGAAACGACGATAAACGATAACGAGACATACAGATTTCGAAAGAGAAATAAACGAGCGGCGATCAAGACACGATGACCACGAGGCGTTAATTTCTCTTGTCCACTAGATGGTACTCCAGTACGAAAGGAGCTGTCGCTCCACCTGCCTATGCGCGAACGCGATTTATAGAAAGGAAAAAGGCGCAGAATTCTGAAGATACGGTGCTTTGTGAATTCAATGAATTGTTCTCAAATTTCAAAAATCCTTTGTAGAGTCCGTGTCGTTGAATCTGGCTGCCGCAGACACCGCAATATCTTGTTCTCCTTCTGGTATTCTCAGGAGCTTGATGTGCCTGGAAGCAAGCCGCTGGTGCGCTTCTCTACTTTTACATCGGGATCCTAGTCTGAAGAGAAACAGAAATCGTACAGAATAGTTGTAAAATAAGTCACGCGAAGATCGTTACTAAACTAGTACTCGCACAGGCGATACTTGTTTCCTCTGGTGCCGTCCTCCATACTCTGGCGCTGAACCACAAGCGAGTAAAGCTGGTGCGTAGAGATGGTCTAGTTGCGGGTATACAATTGCATTCGAAGTTAGAAGGTCGTGATACCATACGTTTTTTCAAGAAAAATCAAACAATCTGCTTTGGTCTATTCTTTTGTTTTGTACAAGAAAACCTGAAGAAATGAATCATAGTTGTCGTTGAAGCGATCTGCTGTAGTTGTACATTCAATTTTCACCTGTGAAACACATATTCGAAATAGATTATAAACAAAGCCGCGCAATACGGTCGTGTAAAACCTGTTATACCGATCTACGATCTTCTTGTTCGTTCTCCTGTTCAACTTCTCTATTGTGCTTGCGATAATAACGAGGGCGAGTTTCTGTCTTCCATGGGTGGAAAATGCACATTGGTCAATTCCGCCCAACCTAGAACCACCTAGCGATGACTGCAACCTGGAAGTTACATCACGCGACTGATGCATGTGCAGGGAGCTGTGCAGGTATTTGCACAGATCCGAGAGCAGGGATCTGCGCAGATACCTGCGCAACCCGCCTGCACAGGTCCGGCAGCAGGTACCTGTCACAGGTACCTGTCACAGGTCCGGGAGCAGGTCACCTGCCCAGGTCGGAGGCAGGTCAACTGCCCAGGTCGGGTGCAGGTCACCTGCCCAGGTCGGAGGCAGGTCACCTGCCCAGGTCAGAGGCAGGAGGTCACCTGCCCAGGTCGGAGGCAGGAGGTCACCTGCCCAGGTCGGAGGCAGATCACGTGCCCAGGTCGGAGGCAGGTCACCTGCCCAGGTCAGAGGCAGGTCACCTGCCCCGGTCAGATGCAGGTCACCTGCCCAGAGCGGAGGCAGGTCACCTGCCCAGAGCAGGGGCAGGTCACCTGCCTAGAGCAGGCGCAGGTCACCTGCCCAGGTCAGAGGCAGGTCACCTGCCCAGGTCGGGGGCAGGTCACCTGCCCAGGTCAGAGGCAGGTCACCTGCCCAGGCCGGCGGCATATCACCAGGCGATATCAGGCGATATCAGGTGAAATCAGGTGATATCATCAGGTGATATCAGGTGATATCAGGTGATATCAGGTGATATCAGGTGATATTAGGTGATATCAGGTGATGATATCAAGTGATATCAGGTGATACCAGGTGACATCAGGTGATAT